AGAGAGAGAGTGGGGGGAGAGAGAGAGAGACTGAGAGAGAGAGAGACAGAGAAAGCGAGAGGGAGAGAAAGATGGAGAGAAAGAGAGAAAGAGAGAGAGAGAGAGAGACAGGGGGAAAAGACAGAAAAAAATTAGAGACTTAATGAATGCGCAGGTAATGATATTATAAGTACCATTAGGAAAACGGGCTTTATGCATTATTACTTTTCCTGAGTTAGCCGGATGTAAATGAGCATTTATTTAGTTGGCAGGGCAGATAAAATTTCAATAGAGATTATAATAAGAACGGTTCTGTCTGTTTAACCCTATACGTACGCCCTGGGGTCATTTTGTACCCCGGGGATTGCATTCTTCACGTTTTAGAATACTTCTAGTGCAAAGATCTCTTTGAAACTTTCAGTATTTCTCGAAAAATCATTTTGACAGACTGCTATGTAAAGCGTACGGATCGGATTAACGAGTAAATTTCCTCTTTGGAAAGTGGTTGCACAGAGTTCCCCGCGTCGTATGGATACGATAGTAAAACACGACGTAAGGATAGTGTTAACTTTGTATTACGTCTGTGGCTCAAATCAATGTGGTTTGTCTTAAACTTGTCGGTGAGAGGAGATAATGCGAAGATGTGTGGGTCTTTTTTGATAACGAAGTTGTGCTTTTTTTCTTCTTTTTTTTTTTTTAAGTGTTTTACGGCGCTCGCAACTGCATAAGGCCATAATATGAGCGCACGGGACACAATAAACTTTTCAGTTGGTAGGAAATTTTGAACTTCGCCCAGGTGGCGGCTGAAGCCTACTCTTATCGATTTTAGACCACCAAGGGATCTTTGCGTGCGCAACTTGCACACGAACCCTCCGAGATTTTTCGGATTTGAACCTGGGACCTTTGAATGAGAGGCGATCACTTAACTTCTAAGCCACGAGAGCCCCCTGGATCTTCTTCGATAACCAAGTCCTGCTTCCTTTTTTTTTTCTTTTAAAAAAAAAAGTGTTTTACAGCGCTCGCAACTGCATAAGTCTATAATAATAATATGAGCGCGCTGGACACATTAAACTTTTTTTTTGGCCCTATTAAAGTGGGTGGATAGCGTGTGCTCTTGTGCGATTTGCTCCTTCTTTGCTACCAAACATCTATCGCCCTAATCAGCTGCCCTCCTTTCTCCTTTTTTGTGTGTGTTTGTCATTCTCTTTTATACAAACATCTCTAAACTTTCGGCACCCACATGATTGTATATGATTGTATTGCGCTCATATGACCTTATCCAGTTGCGAGTGCTGAAAAACGAAACACCATGTGATTGTATTGTGTTGCAAGTGTCGAAAAACACTTTAAAAAAAAAAAAAGAGATAGGTAAAGAGTTAACGTGAGGCAAACGATCAGCGGCACTGTAAGGGAGCCCCTTTTCCTGGAACACAGACCAGAACACCAGACAGAATCTGCGGTCACGAACGAATCTAATCGGAAATCCTCGTACTGGCAGGGCTATCAAGAAAGCGATTGCTATAATTATTTATCACTGTCGAATCTTCCGGTGGTTTTCAGGGGGGAAAAAAATTAAAAATTGTTTTAATTCATCGTCGTGGAAGGAGAACGCATTCCACTCGAAGAGAGAGAGAGAGGGAGAGAGAGAGAG